ATATCTCATTATGATTTTGATTTGCATTTCCCTGATGATTAGTGATGTTGAGCATATTTTCACGTTGTCTGTTGGCCATCTGTATCTCTTTGGAGACATGTCTCTATATGTCTTCTGCCCATTTCTAAATTGGATTATTTGTTTTTTGGATATTGAGTTGTAGAAGTTCTTTATATATTTTGGATACTAACCCTTTCTTGGTTATGTCATGTGCAAATATCTTCTCCGATTCTGTAGGTTGGCCGTTTTGTTTTGTTGATTGTCTCCTTTGCTGTGCAGAAGCATTTTATTTTGACGCAGTCCCAATAGTTTATTTTTGCTTTTGTTTCCCTTGCCTTAGAAAAGACATATCTAGAAAAATGTTGCTGTGGCGGATGTCAGAGAAATTACTGCCATTCACTCCTTTTTATTGCTGAATAGTATTCCATTGTATGAATAGACCACAATTTATTTATATACTCACCTATTGATGCCATTGGATTGTCTTCATTGCAGTTTTTTATGTGGACATCTATACTTCAATTTCTCTTGGGTAAATACCTATGATTGGAATTGCTGGGTTATATGGTAAGTGTATGTTTAACTTTATAAGAGATTGCCAAACGATTTTCAAAATTGTTGCACCATTTTACATTCCTACCAGCAGTGTAGGGGAGTTCCAGCTGCTCCATCTTTACCAGTTATTACTGATAATTTGTTTACTTGTTCTATTAATTACTGAGACAGGAGTATCTAAATCTCTACCTATAATTACAAATTTTCCCTTTCTCCTTTTAGTTATATCAGTTTTTGCTTCATGTATTTTGAAACTTTGTGACTAGGTACATACACCGTTAGTAATGTTTCACTTTTTTTTTTTTATGAGTTGACCCTTTATCATGAAATGTTCTCCTTTGTCCCTGTACTCAATTCTACTTTGTCTGCCATATAACGACTCCAGATTTTTCCTTTTTAAATCACAATGTGCATGATACATCTCTTCCTATCCCTTTGCTTTTAAACTTATTTGTGTGTTTTTATTTAATGTAGGTGTCTTTTAAATAGTATATAGTTTAGTCTTGCTTTTTTTAAAAAAGATTTTATTTATTTATTTGACAGAGACACAGTGATAGAGGGAACACAAGCAGGGGGAGTGGGAGAGAGAGAAGCAGGCTTCCCACTGAGCAGGGAGCCCGATGTAGGGTTTGATCCCAGGACCCTGGGACCATGACCTGAGCCGAAGGCAGACGCTTAATGACTGAGCCACCCAGGCGCCCCAGTCTTGCCCCTAAAAAAAAAAAAAAACCAGCCCTGAGAATCTCTGACTTCTAATTGGAGTGGTTAGACCACTTACTTAAAAAAAAAAAGTCATAATTAACAAAAGAATAAACTGTATGTATTTCAAGTGTACAATCTGATGAGTTTTGACATGTGTATACCTGTGAAGGCATCACCACAATCAAGAAAATGGCCATTTTCATCATTCCCAAAAGTTTCCCTGAGATCCTTTGTAATCCCTCCCACCCTTTTCTCTTTGCGGGACACCACTGATCTGCTTCCTGTCACTATAGTTTGCATTTTTAGAATTTTGTGTAAATGGAAACATACCTTGTGTATTCTGTTCTGTCTGGCTTCTTTTACACATCATAATGGTTTTGAAATTCTTTCATGTTGGTTTTGTTTCCATTTTTTTGGTTCCTTTTTGTCTCTGTATAGTATTCCATTGTGTGGATATACCATGAGGTTTTATTCATTCACAGAGACGAGCATTTGGGTTGTTTCTAGTTTTTGGCTATTACAAATAGAGCTGCTATGAACATTCTTCTTCAAGTCTTTGTATGGACATATGTTTTTATTTCCCTTGAGTAAATACCTAGGAGAGGGATTCCTAGGTTGTATGGTAGGCATAGATTTAGTATTTTAAGGAACTGCCCATCTATTTTCCGAAGCATCTGCACCATATCTCCCCTGTCCATCAAGTTGGTATGGCTTGCCTTTTTAATTTTAGTGACTCTGTTTGGTGTGTTTATATTTCATTTACTTATTGCCCATTCATATGTCTTCTTTTGTGAGTTTTCTGTTCACATTTTTTTGCCCATTTAAAAAAATGTCATTGTCTCCTCATTCCGATAAATGTTCTTGGCTGATGTATGTGGTGCAAATATTTTCTTCTGGTTCGTGGTTTGCCTTTTTGTATTTTTAACAGTCCCCTTAGAAGAGCAAAAGTTTGATTTTGATGAAGTCCAATTTATCAATTTTTTTCTTTTATGGCTTATTTATTTCTTTACTTATTTTTTTTCTATGTAAGGAAACTTTGTCTACCTGAGATCACAAAGATTTTCTCCTATGATTTCTTCTAGAAGAAGAAGTCTATGATCCATTTCATTTTTGTGTAGGGTTTAAGGTAAGTACATATTTTTTTCCACGGAAAGATCTAGTTGTTCCAGCAGCATTTTTTCAAAAGACTTCTATTCCCCACTCAAGTGCCTTGACACTTTTCTTGAAAATCACTTCATACTTATAGATGTGGGCAAAATGATACAAGGTATACTCAAATACCTTACCTACAAATCTTAGTAGGATACATGTGTGAAAGAGTAGGCTAAGCATTAAAAATAATTTATGTGGTTATGAATCTCTAATTTTCATCAAAAATTTTTCTTTTACATGTATCATATGACCTCACTGATATGAGGAAATTTTAACCTCAGGAAACAAACTGAGGGTTGCTGGAGTGGTGGGGGGTGGGAGGGATGGGGTGGCTGGGTGATAGACATTGGGGAGGGTATGTGCTATGGTGAGTGCTGTGAATTGTGCAAGACTGTTGAATCACAGATCTGTACTTCTGAAACAAATAATGCAATATATGTTAAGAAAAAAAAAGAAGAAGAAGAAGATAGCAGGAGGGGAAGAATGAAGGGGAGTAAGTCAGAGGGGGAGACGAACCATGAGAGACGATGGACTCTGAAAAACAAACTGAGGTTTCTAGAGGGGAGGGGGGTGGGGGGATGGGTTAGCCTGGTGATGGGTATTAAAGAGGGCACGTTCTGCATGGAGCACTGGGTGTTATGCACAAACAATGAATCATGGAACACTACATCCAAAACTAATGATGTAATGTATGGTGATTAACATAACAATAAAAAATTAAAAAAAATTTCTTTTAACTCTTTCTTTTTTATGTCTCTTCCAAAATGAATTAAGTCATTCTCTTTGATTCTAAAACCTCATGAATGGCAACATCCATATTATGATAGCAGAAATCATTCTATCCATCACTTAAATGTACAGGCTTTTTGGTGAAGCTAAGCCTTGTTCCAGATATTTGGGTTTGGCAACGTTCACAGATCCCAGAATGTTCTTCAAATGTAAATACACTCTGAAGTGATAAAAAATGAAAAAATAAACAACTCTCAATTTTCCTAAAAAATCCAGATCTATACTATCAATACAATAACCATAATTTAACTTTCTCTATTAGGAGTGCCCAAATATGCCAACATGAAATTCTGTGACAAAGACAAGAATAGGGGAAAAGAAAACCCAGTGCCTATGGAAATCGAGATCGAAAAATTTAATGATTTAAAAATAGCCTTTATATACAAGATGGGGAAGAGAGTAATACAGATTGAAATTTTGGTTTTGAAAACGTGAAATGTCACCACTTAGCTTAGAACAAGTCTGTCATCTCCTAAGAAACACACATTATACAATGAACTCTATAGGGACACCTTTCAACTCCTGCTGAGTTTGTTTTCAGAAATCTCCTTTCTCCCCACATGCTTGCTTGTCATATAATGATAAATTTTAATCATCTCTTGACAGAATGGGAACTCGGAGAACTACAATAATGGTTGTTTCGAGAAGCACCTTCTGTGATGTTTCGCTGATTTTTTTCTCACACTTAGATCACACATTCTTTTCTCTTAAATCTTTTCCTGTTCCAATGATTTGGTTGTTTAAAACAAGCAAGCTTCATTAAGTCAAGGCATATATTGCAAATAAAAACGTTTTCAAATAGGCTAGATGAGAACCATTCGGTAAGAACTGGACTGAAATCCTATAGATAATGTGCTTCCTGACTTGTTAATATGTGAATACATTTACCCACTAGGTAGGAAGTATTTCATTTGCCCCAAGACCAGTCTGATGGCTCGTGCATATGTCTGTGCTGTGCCAACACCAGCAGGTATAATAGGACAGACTATGGCATGGGCGCAGTGATGAGCTGTAAGACGGTGGTGGGCTGTATACACAGGCTCATGGGCCAGACAGAATTGTAAAGATTGGATGGACTGAGTGTCAGGTCAGCAGCTGCATGTTTTAAGGAAGGTGCAAGATCGAGCAATGAATTCCCTTAGAATAGGATGTGGCCTGGTGGCTCTAACCTTTAAGTGACCAAAGAACTGGGTGGTTTCCTCAGGTAATGGAGGTAGTAGCACCTAAGTGAACGTTGAGAGTCAGAAGGCCCTCTACTTACAACTGGCAGGTGGAACCTTCCCTTCTTTTTGTGGACAATGGTAGTCTGATGTGTCTTTATGAATTCCTGCTGCAAAGAATATGGTTTTTGGAAATCTAAAAACACCCCTTGGGAAACCTCATGGCCAAGTCACTCATAAATGCAGATGATCAAAAGGCCCTGGGGAAAAACCTTTGCTTTCCTTTTATTGCGATGTCCTCTCTGTGTTGAAACAACCTAGCCCAAACTGAGGATATGGCCTCTACATACTTCTAAAATATCGGTGCTTGGGTTAACATATACTTCCTGAAATTCTATATATGTATATATTTCTCTCTTTTATAAAAGGGCTTTTTCAATCACAAGTGAGGCATTTTGCCACAATGGGCCCAAGACGGTCAATTTTGAAAGGGGTTTCCAAACAAGAACAAGTCATGCCATGCCTTGTTATTGGAAGGTGAACACTTATACGTATACTGTGCTTCCCAGACTTGGAAGTGACAGGCTCAGAATAATCGCTAATATATGTAGAGCAATATTACAACTAACTGGTATGTTTTCTAAAAAAAAAAAAAAAATGCAGCATTAGGACGTGCTTACTAAGGTGCTTCTTCATTCATGTTTTCTAATGGAATGTATCGGACAAACATCTACAAACGAACACCAATACACAGGCATACACACGCACGTGGACCAGTTTCTGTACAGTTTATGCCTTAGATGCTTCTGTGTTTACATAAGAATCACACAGGAAAAAAAAAAATTCCCCCTCTAGCTCCCTGAATTTCTCAATGTTGTCTAACCCATAAAATGTTAAAATAGTTCATTTTCATATAAAATTATCTACAAAAATAGATAACATTTACAAAAACCAGATAGCATTTCCAGTTTTCCTTAGTAGCGCACTCAGTCCCCGCCTTCCCTCCTTCTCCTCTCAGAAGGTGGCCATCTCCAGCAAAGAACGCTTGAAGAGCTGGGCATTCCTGGACAGGTCTGTCACTTGGTGCACCATCTCCTGCAGGGCCGTGGTGCTGGGGTAATGGAGGGCCGCCATCTTGGTCGCCATCACGATCGTCTTGAGCTGCTCGCAGAGCTGGTTGCTGGAGTTCATCACTTTGTTGCGAATGTCCTGGGCGGCAATCTGCCTTGTCAACGTGTCCCCAATGAACACCAGTTTGTGTGCGCTCAGGATGACAAACTTGCTGTGGGCCACGAAGATGCGCGGCGGCTGGGCCGAGCTGACGCAGCTGAAGAGGGCGTCGATGGCATTGAGGAGGGAGATGTAATGGGTCTCGCACTGGTCGTAGTAGAAGCAGAGCAGCTGCCGATCCTGTGCGCCCACGCTGCTGTTTGTGGTCGGGAGGCTCTGAGAAGGCTTCCACTTGGAGATGTCGTTCTCCACGGGCTTGGTGATTTCTTGTTCCAACAACTGGAACTGACTCAGCTGCAAGGGAGAGACAAGCAGATTTCGTGAAGGGGAAGGCAGTGTGCTGTCCTGGAAATTAACCAGGGCTTGGAGTTCAGGGACAGGGATTTCAATCCCTAATAAGTGGCAAGTGCCTATTAGATGGGAGGCTTTGCTTTCCTAAACTGTAAAATGTAGAGGTTGAGAAAGAGGATGGCTAAGGAATCCTTCAGCTCAGGCCCCTGTGGTTGGGTACTGGTCTCTTCTGCCCTAAGGCTGGAAGTCAGCTACTTTTATACTCAGCTCTGTTACCTGCACCTTTATGAAAGTTCCATGAGTTAACATTTACAAAGTGCTTAGAGTGGTGTTTGGTCTATCCTCGTCTCTATGTAAATGTTTATTGAATGTTGAGTGGAGGTGAAGGAAAATCAAATGGAGGGATCTCTTTATCAAGTAAATCACTGACAGTTGGCTCCTTCTCTGGGAAAGCCTTGACTCTGTCCCTTCCAGACTCTTAGATAAATGACCATCCATGACCCCTTTCTGTTTCTCCTACTCTTTCAGTCAAGATTTGTAAATGTTATTATGCAGCACTATGGGAGAGACTAGCGCCTATAAATACATGTGCAGTGTGGAAAAGCGCATCTCTAAGGGAATCTGAATGCTAATTGTTCATCAGAGCACTTAGCCACCCAGAGCTGTTGAAAGAAAAGAACCTCTCACGGAGTTAGACTCAATGAGTGTTAGCTTTCTTCTTTCCTTACTGCTCCTGGCTGGTGTATTATTTAAACTGCAGTTATAATAGTCTCATGCTATTCCACCAAATCTCAGGGGAGACCCTTCTTTTGCAGGTAATGGCTACCTGTGACCTGAGCTTAGGACTCCACGATCTTCTCCTCCAAGGTAGAGCTCAGTCAGAATAGGGATAATCTCATCCAGCTTCTCCCCCAAGAAATGCACAGTGAGCTTTCCTTTTCAATAGAATCTGCTTTCTTCTTAGAAATTACTACAGTTTCAACAAGTTCCCTAAAGCCCTGCAGTCCTACTTGGCCAAATGCCAAAGCAGACATAAACAGATACAGGGTGATGTTTGAAGACATTTTGCTTATGCTTTTGCAAATATGTTCATAAATATATCATCTTATTAGATGGAGAGGTGGGGGAATTTTCTCATTTTATATAGAAGTAACTGAGGTTCAGGGAGGTTAAATGACTTGCCTAATGTCACAGAGTTGGCTGGTCAGAAAGCAAGGATTAGAACTCTGGTTTCCTGGGGCGCCTGGGTGACTCAGTCAGTTAAGCAACAGACTCTTGATTTCAGCTCAGGTCATGATCTCAGGGTTGTAAGATGGAGCCCCTCATTGGGCTCCACACTCAGTGTGGAATCTGCTTGAGATTCTCTCTCTCCTTCTCTGTCTGCCCCTCCCTCCACCCCCTCACACTCTTTCACTATCTCTCTTAAAAAAAATAAAAAATAAAATAAAATATAAATATAAATAAAATAAAATATCTTAAAAAAAGGAACTCTGGTTTCCTGAGTGCAGTGTGACAGTTTGTGTCTCTACATGCCATTTCATTGAGGCATGTAAGTCCTCAATCCATTACTCTTTATTTTTATGCCCTGTACCAGCAATACTCATCATTATCAGCCCCACTCATGCCCGACTCTTGAGTGAACCTGCCTTGCCCAGATCCCTTGTTTGAGGGCTTGGATATATTTTGAACACATTTGATCTTGCTCTCATTCTCTTAGATTGGACCAAGAACAGCCAAGCCATATGCTTGTGTTGTAGGAGATAGATAGATAGATGATAGATAGATAGATAGATAGATAGATAGATAGATAGATAGATAGAGATGGCCCAATCAGACTCTCTCTTTCTCTTTCTCTCTTTTTTTTTTTAGGAATTTGCTGAACCACAGTAAGGAGATATCAGCTGAGGATGCTGAGATGAAAAGCCATCTGTGGAAAGGACTTTGAATGGCCATTTATGGGTTCCGTAAAGTTCAATGGGAGCCAAATGAGTAGATAAGCAGAGGAAACTGTCAGACAATAGAGGAGAAGAAAGCAGATTTAGAGAAAAGGAAGTACAAGAAGGAGAGAGAATTTACAATCCTAGCTCTCATCGGACTTGACCGTATCTGCATTTTCTCTTCCTGCATTCCCCTACTATTGCCTTACTATAAAACCTGTGTGCTTGGGCTAGCTTGACTGAGTCTTGCTTCTTGAGACCAACAGCCTCAACCCAAAGAGTCCTAACATGTTAGATGTACAGAAGTAGCTGGAAAAATGGCTGTTTAGACATAATCCAGGTACACCAGCTGGATTGTTAAAGCTATAAACTTTCTTTTTGTTCATATCCCCTATTATAAGCCTTGGAGCTTATTATTATTTTTAAAGATTTATTTATTTATTTGAGAGAGAGAGTGGGGGGAGGGGCGGTGGGAGAGAGGAGAGGAGAGAGAGAAAGAGAGAGAAAGAAAAGCAGACTCCCCACTGAGCGTGAAGCCAGATGGACTCGGGGCTCGATCCCATGACCCTGAGATCATGACCTGAGCTGAAATCAAGAGGCGAACACTCAACCAACTGAGCCACCCAGGCACCCCAGAGCTTATTTTTTTTTTTTTAAGATTTATTTATTTGAGAGAGAGAGAGAGAGAGCATTCGGGGAGGAGCAGAGGGAGAGGGAGCAAGAATCCCAAGCAGATTCCACACTGAGCACGGAGCCACGGAGCCAACATGGGGCTGGATCTCAGGACCCTGAGATCATGACCTGAGCCAAAACCAAGAGTTGGGACACTTGATCATTGAGCCACTCAGGCACCCTGAGCCTTGGAGCTTATTTATGCCCAAGAATGCTGGAAGGACCAAAATCATGATCTTCTGAAAGGCTACCTTCCTTATGAAGCGGGAAACCTGCAATACTAGGTAGGTTTTGTCCTGGTTGAACTTACTTGATGATGCTCCAGCTGCATCTTGTTCTGTTTGATGATATTTTCTTTTTCCAGCAGCTCTTTCTGTTGCCTCTCAAACTCCTCCTTCCCCTGTTATTTTTCAACATAAAGAAAACATTACATCACCCCTGTGATTCACTTGTGCTAACACTTTCATTGACAAATGTGTAAATACCCTTTAGTTTTCCATTGCCTTGGCCCTTTTAGGCCCTGTTAGGCCCTATGAACGCCAGTCAGGGATGGCGCACTCCCCTGCCAGACTTCCAGAGTCCCCACATAGGGCAGGGCTGGAAACTAAAATCTGTTTCCACGTGGGGTGCCACCATCTCCACTCCACTTTACCATTTTGGGAGATCCACACTCCCCTTCAAACCTCCTTACACAGTACTATTTCTCAGGGTTCTTCTCTAACAGATTATATGCAAACCCATAAACCTCCTAACGCAGGTCTAAATGGGGACCACATTGCACTCCTGGTTTCTTCGAATCATCTACAACTCTAGACCAAATTAGTATTTCCCAATATGCAGAGCTGAACCACCCTCCAGGGGAATGGTGAATGCCCCTATCAACTCTCTCCCACACCTTTCCTTAGCAGTGGGGGGTGGGAGGCGGGGCTCAGCTCTCTCCCTTGCCTGGTCTCCTGTATGCACGAGAACTGTAGTTAGTTAAACAGTTCTTAGGGTGATCCATCCCTCTCAGTCAAATGAAAGGAATGGCCGAGGAAGATAGCACGACAAATTCTGAATAATGGATCTTGGTCATATGTTTGAATTTCCCAAAGTGAAAGGGATCCTAGGTCAACGTGGTGGAACTTCCACTTGTAGGAGGCAGACTGTGCCTGCCCAATTCCCCATGTGCTGTGACGTTCTAGGTCAACTGACAAACGCCCAGTGTTCCTCAAGGTAAGCCTGAGGTGGGGTGAAGTTTTTCTGTAAGTAATTAAACACACAAACACACACACTGTAGGACTGAAGGGACCTGAGAATTTCTCTAGTCTAGAGTTTTCATTTTTTTTTTTTTAACAGTGCCTCTCTCCTTCTTCAAATAAAATACCATGCAGAACTCTATCATAAAATGCAAATAGAGGTGGAGCTGGTGTGATTATCTGAAGACCCACGTTCCTACTTGGGGAGTCCCTTCCTGCTTGGCATATCAATGGATCACTCCAACCCCGTGCTCCATTCACTTTGCAGATGAAGAAGTGACCCCAGGAGGTTCCTAAGTTGATCACACAGTGTCAGGAAAAGGTCTAGAACTGATTACTCAGCACTCTCAGGCCAGCGTTCTTCCTACTGTACAATGTTGCTATGGATTCTGCTCTTGAACCGTTAACAATGTCGCCTCTGGCAGTCCAGCCTACCAGCCGTATGCATGTCAGTCCCAGGCTCCCTGAATGCGAACATAGGCGCTTTATGAGCCTGATTTCCTTACCTGTAGGTGGACGTAGTCATAATCATCCATCCAGCTCCTTTCAGAGCCGTCACTGCTGCTACAGTCAGGAGGCTGGTCCTTGCCCAGGCTTGGGAGCAGTGGCTTGTGGAGGACCTGGGCCTTGTGGTCCCCAGGATGTAGCAGCTGCATCTGCGATGCAGGGTGTGGGTACTCCGTGGAGTTCATGATGTTCTCGGACCCACTCTTCACAGGCGAGCTGCCAGGGCCAGGTCTAAAGAGGGCCTCTGCATTGGTGTTGATGGTTGTGGTGAGCTGCTTGGCATCATCAGGCACTGTCTTTGCCACCATCACAAACCGGTCCAGGTCATCACACTTGTTCTGGGGCTTGTTGATGGCCAGAATATTCAGGGACCAGCTGCACTCATTTAAGTCGTGGCTGGTCTGGCTCAGGATCTGGTGGGAGTCTTCCACTCTTTGGAGCTCCCGCTTCATTTTGTTGTGGAGGATGAGTTCAGGGAGGCAGGAAGCATTTGCTACAGCTCCCTTGGCAAAATGGAGGTAGTCCTTCACGAACAGCTCCACCTTGTCCACGGACGTGCGGATCTCGTTGATGTGTCGTTCCATGTATCCGTAACACCGCCAGTCTGTGGTCACCAGCGCCATGAGGCTGGAGACGCCCATCTCCAGGGTCTGCTGGAGCCGCTGAAGCCTCTCGATGGCTGTGTCTGGATCCAGCAAGAGCCTTTTGTCCTGAGATGGGGAGGCCGACAAGGAAGATTCCTTGGAGGTGGTGGAAGATGTGGACATGTTGCTCCTGGTGCTGCCCGTGCTGGAGAAAGATAACCGGTTGATACCATCGACCATGTCCTGAGAGCCTTTGGCATCTGGGGGGTTGTGCAGAGGGACGTCGTACACACCGTCTCTTTCTTCGGGGTTTGCTTTCTCACTGGTTTCTGTTGGCGGCTCCAGAAACTGAACCCCTCGTGGGATGTCGTAGGCATCGTTCTGGGGACCCAGGGACTGTCCCAGCTGTGAGGGCGGGTGGTTCAGCGAGACGCTTTGGTGTCTTCGTGTCGCCAGGTCAGTGGCTCCCGGAGCATCACAGTTATATTTTATGTGAAGGTCCTTCCCCATCGGCTTGGAGCTGGTTGGGGGGATGTCATAGATGCCCTCAGGTCTGACGTCCAGCCTTACAGCTTGTCTCACTGGAGGGGGGAAATCATACTCTTTTTCCCTAAGCCCTGCCTCATCTCGGCAAGCAGAGGGTGGGATGGCATATACCTGAAAAGCAAGTAGAAAAGGAGCTGTTATTTGTTCAGCTGGCTCATGCGAACGTGCAGAAACTGAAAAGGACCTTAAAATGAGGTTAGAATTCTCAGTCTTCATCACTGGCTCCTGGCTCTTCACCTTCCACCCACTTCTGGCCCGTGTTTCCCAAGGCTCTGCTCTGCTCTGTTCTCACTTCCCTCATCCTTGGACAGGAGCATCCTTCCCATGGCCTCAGTGCTGCTTGTGTGTGGACCCCTCCTGGCTGAGTTGCCCTCCCTGGGTCCCAGTCCCGTGTTTCTGACCACCTCCTGGGTCTCCTTCCTCGGCTGATCCAGGCAGGGAGGCAGACTGTGCATTCACACACAGGACGAGGCATCGGAAGACCTGAGGTCTCTCCCTGGATCTGTCGGCTGTGAGATGCTGAATAAGTTGCTTAAACGTTCCGACGCACAGTTCCCTTCTCTGCACAATGGGGATAACTATACTTCCTGTGCAAGCGTACCCCAACGGACAAGAGAGGGTATCAAACGCAGCAACCCCTATCCATGGACTGAGGACGCTGTAACACTTCCCATAAATATGAGATATGTTTGCTGCTTGCAAAACTGAATTATTTTAGCTTCTTACTGGCTCTCCTTGTCGACTACCTCATTTTTAATGGAATGCCCTAACTATGGAATCCTTAGACTTACCTTTGAGATTTTTTTCCTTTCCTTTTTTTTTAAAGTAATCTCTGTGCCCCATGGGGGGCTTGAACTCATGACCTCGAGATCAAGAGTTGAATACACCCTGACTGAGCCAGCCAGGTGCCCCTATTGCCTTTTCTTCCTCCTGTTCATTCTCTCATAAAGACTAGTTTTTCCCCTTTGGTTTGCCCTTCTCGTTTTACTCTAATAAACACACACACACACACACACACACACACATGCACATGCACCCATTGTTTTGCTGCTCTGTGGTAGCTCACTTACCCCTTTAGTAGGAGGGATGTCATAGACGCCTTGAGGTTTTATCTCTCCCACTGGGACTGAAAACACAGGGCCTTTCACTGATGATGGAGGGATATCGTACACCTGAAGAGAAACACTTGCGTTACCCAGAACAGAAATGTCGTATATGTGTCACTTCTTACACTACCAAGCCTTTCACTATGGATTTATTTGCCAGGTTATGTATACCTTTGCTGTATGTCATAAGGGGTTGGTAGAATTTTTCTTTTTAGATTTCATGTTCTTTGACTTAGACTGAGTATAAAAATGACCTTACATGAAGTATCTACACTGTCTGGACTTTATTTTTAAAGATCTTGTTTATTTATTTGAGGCAGAGAGAGTGAGTGAGAGAGAGAGAGAGAGAGAGAGCATGAGCAGGGGGAGGGGCAGAGGGAGAGGGACAAGCAGGCTCCCTGCTGAGCAGGGAGCCCTACAACACAGGGCTCCATCCCAGGACCCTGAGATCATGACCTGAGCCGAAGTCAGCCACTTCACTGACTGAGCCACCCAGGCGCCCCACTGTCTGTGCTTTAAACTGTAGTTTAAATTTTACATTTCCTGAACGAAAATGATAAGCGATAAACGCTTTGTCAGATACAGGCCTAGGATTTCCTGATTAAGCAGATCCAGAAAACATAATTTAAATAGCATTGTTGGAAATGGCTTCTGGATAGTTAGCTTCAAGTGAAACATGCATACTTGGTGAACTTCCCTTTGCTCTGTAGCCCTGAAGGAACACCACCCTGAAGCTCTCCCGGCGTGCTGGTACATACCCCTTGTGTGGCGTGGGAAGGAGGGATGTCGTAGATGTCCTTTTGGTATCTGGACGGGTACTCGTAGACGTAGCCCTGGCCTGTCCTCATGGGGGTTACCACCTGTGGGCAGGAAGACAGAGAGGTGTAAAATTCCAAGCCCCAGTCCTGAGTGACTCTCTTAGCTTTCTAACCAGGTACTCCTCCGTCACCTCTCCCCCATAAGAAGAAAGAAAGGAAAACCCGGAAGGGAAGAGAAAAAAGGAAGGAGACAAAGCGACATCAGGTCAGAATACTTTTAAATCCCATCTTGAATCCCAATAAAGAACAAATCCCTGAAATAGCTCCATCCCTCTTCCTCTTGATGATAAAACCATCTCAAAGTTGGTCCAAGTCTCAATTCCCAGGATGTACCTTAAGGGAGAATCATTTTTAAATTATGAAATTTTAAATTATGATCCTAGATCATCCCTTTGAAGCACCAAAACCACAGCATAATGCAAAAGAAAACATTTTTTTAAAAGGCTCTGAAACTATTTGTAAAGCGAATAATGCAAATAGAGTGTTGAGCTACTTAAAATTCCTCTCATGCCTTCCCCAGGACGCCTCTACATGTGACATTATTATTATTATAACAAATTCCATAGATCACTAGAGTACTTTTATGAAGCCAACAGCTCAAGAAGCCTCCAGGAGCTTTCAATCCAACCTTTGAAACAAATGACAGACCTATCAGGAGCCACCAGGAACAGAGTTCAGGTCTCTAATCATTTTCTCATTTCCACCGGGGAAGCAGACATCCCAGACAGTACCTACGTCCAAGGGTTGTGGGAAGTCAAACACACTCATCACAACTCTGGCATCTGGGATGAATGCCAATAAAAGGAACCTCACCCTGCAGGCTAGTAGTTTCCCATCTACCATCCTTCCTTGTGTCCTAAGCATCGGCAGAGAACTTACTCGAACTGAAACTCATTTGGAAATGTATTTAATCCTCCAAGGTCTTCTAAATAACCAGGGTCTTGTGTTTGCCTAACCCCTGCCCCCCGAATGACTAATAGCACCCCCCCCTTAGTATTGTCTTTTTTTTTTTTTTGGAGAACGGGCATTGTAAATTAGACAGAGTTGGTTCTTCCTTAAGAAACCATCATCTTTTATCCTTCCCCTAATGTGAAAATTCTGGCATCAGGCTGCCTACGAAACTATGTGAAAAATGCTCGTGTTCATCTTATGCCGAAGTGGGTGGAACTCAGCCAAAAGCACCAATGCCCTTCGCCCCAGGGAAGCTCTAAAACGCCGAAATCCCTGGTGCTTGCAGCTCATTACTTCTTGCAGTGAAGATAAAGGAGATTAGTATTGCAGTCACCATCCCATCAAATCTCTCCACTGCCTTGGGTTTAAGAAAAGGAATCTATGGCTTTAAACTTTGTTGGCATGGAGCATACAGAACCATTTATAGAGTGGCCACCGTATTGTGCCTAGCAAATCTTCCTTTTAAAAGTGGTGTGCCCTTTGCCATGCCAGTGGCAGAAAAACGCACTGTGTTCCTAGGGCCCTTATATGATTTTTTATTTTTTTCACTCACTATTGTCCAGGAGAGAAGTGAAGTATCTTCTCTGAGTGTATCTCATCAGCCCCTCTATTTATAGCTCTCTGTTTTGGCTTTATAATAGAACCTGTACACAACACAGCTTTTGTTCAGTCTGAAAGTTTCTAAGAGTGGATTCTGTCCGAGGTTGCCAAGTTAGTAAAAATGCTAATGGAAAACCAAGGCTGGCTATGCTGAAGGCCAGCTGAGTGGTTCCATCTTTAGTTTTAAGACGGGAAGGGAGGCGGGGGCTGGGAGATAGAGGGGGTGCTGCCGGTATCTGAAAATAGTCCTTGGTGAGATGTAAACATATGGCAAGACCTCAGAAAGGCAGGGCCCTAGACAAAGCTTTTCCTTGCCTTTGTGGATCTTCCCTGGCAGGGAGCATTAGTGCTTCCCGGTATTTAACTTCTCACTTCCTGACAAATGTCACAAAACCTCAACTTGCTCTCTCTTTCTCATTTGGAGGATGCCTGTGGTCATCTGGTTTTTAAAAACTTTGCATTCCAAGCCAGTCATTTTCCTTGTTTATGCATTAAAAGAAACAGATGGTGAAAACCACAGTTGAGGCGGGGGGAAGCCAACAAAATGAAGTCTCCCCCGAGGCCAGCATTCCCGATGGTACCATCTAATTTGCGCTGGTCCACAAATAGCATTTAAAAGGGACCAGCGTTTTGCCTCTGGTCAGACGCAGCCGGGGCACACAGCGATCCACTCTGTAACGTCTGAAGGAACAAGGAGCTGGAAGTCTTCTCCTTTTGGACATTCTCCTCCTCAACCCATTGCTTGGGTGGCTTTTATGCCAATTGCGTGTTCTCTCCTCAGAGGAAAGTGCTGACTGTTCTGTACCTTACAGAGTATCCAGTTCTGCGGTCATAAGACCTTTTCTTCCTGCTTGACACAGTACACAAAAACCTCTCTACTGTCCCAGAATTCCTGAACGTTAGCCTCCGAGAACACCAGGGTCTAGCTAAGGGGATGTAAATTTCGGAAGCATTCTCCTGCGTGTTTGCAAGGGCAAGACCTTGATGGCATTGCTACACAAAGGGCATTTCAAACCTAATTTTCTCAGTGAAACGAAGTCAGGTTTTTCATTTCCTTTCTTCCTCCGTTGGTTTTTCTTTTGTGCTTTCCTTTTATTCTGTGTATTTATTTATAGTTACAAGGGCTTAGCCTTAAGAACCTCTTAGTTCATTAGAGTTGATGCAAATGGGGCTAGAAAGGGGGGATTCCTGGGGCTCTCGGACCAAGGGCTAGGGCAGGCAACCCCCTTCCTGATGACCCTGGTAGAGGATTTGCATTTTCCAAATACGGATTTTCTGCCCCGTGAGGAACCTGACCAGTCCTCAGATATTAGTCTACTATTTATGTCAACTAACTGAAGAGTCTGAAGGTAGACACTTTGAGAAGAGAGGAAGGGCAGATGTAGACATTTCGGAAGGGAACAGTCCATTTAATAAATCTCCCAAAGTGCAGAAAGTGGGGTTAGGTTAGCGCCCTAATTATGTGCTTGCCTAAAAACAAGCAAACACATACACGGCGCCCCTCACCCTGCACTCTGATGTGTTTGATTCTAACCATTTTCAGCATCAGAGCCTGGGCACCAAGAGCTGCTTTTAGAGATGATTTAAATCCCTCCAATGTCTCATAATTTTGAGAGCCGTGCATACTGAAATTTTAAAAAGGATGGCAGCGATGTGTGAGTCAGTGAGCTGGAAGACAGGCCCTCGGGCCGGGCCACTTGCACCTCCCCAGTGTCCTTAGCCTGGGCTTGCACCTGTAGCCCAGCAAGGGCCTGATGCTTAGATGCCTGTGGGGCCCAGCAGATGAGGCGGAGGGAGAAGCGAGCTGGGATCTTGCGCTGGGGAGACGGAGCTCACAACCTCCCGAAGGAAAGCAGCCATTCCTCAGCTCCAGTCAGCTGCCATCCTGAGAAAATACACCCCGTGTGGCTAAGTCTCTCAAATTTTCAGGACAAGCCAGAAATCTGGATTTTTTAACTTGAAATCTGATTTCCAGAATTGGCTCAAATATTTCAAACAACGCCCTGGCCAAACGTCTCTGGCCCTCAGGGGGCCCGTCTTGCCTTCCTGTATGTATTTCTGCCCTCCTCCCTCAATACCTTGAAAGTCTCTGAGGGCAGGTACCAAAAAGCTCTTTAGCAATTCCATTCCTTGGCAAGACTGAACTCCACCATTTTATACAGATGCCCCGCATGCCCCACCTCTGTGCCTTCACTCATGCTGTATCTTTCTCCAAGATATTCTTCTTCCTGTCCTCATAATTCACATTTTATTCGGCTTTCAAGGCCAGGCTGAGTGACTCTCTCCCATGGGGCCTTTCCAGACAAATAGAATACCTTTCTCTTTCGAACGCCCCAAGCACGTTCTGTGTACATCTCTAAGGGGACTTATCACTTGTGGTCCTTTTCAGTGCTTCCCATTTCTTCTCTTGGCATGGTGGAGATAGAGCCTGTTTCTTCCTTTGTAGATACACAGCAGGGCCTATCACAGTGCCTTGACTGTAGTAGGGCTTGGATAAATGCATTGACTGGATACATTAATGAGCTAAAGGAAAACTCGAAGCTTTTCTCAAGCAAGATGGTGTGGAACTGGACAGGACGGGAAACAAGGTCTGCCTGTGCAGGATGAGGTTGGTTTCCAGGTGAGTCAGTTCTAGGATGAGTGGGACCCATGGGAGAAGGGGCGGAATGGGCTCTTCTCAGCCATGCATGGTAAGGACAGGCAAGTGAGGAGCCAAAAAAGCAGAGTGAATTTTAGATAAAATCAAGAAATCAGAAACCACAGAAGCATGATCACCTGTACCACTGTTTGGTGCAAACCACCATGGAGGCCAAGAAGGGCTGCTAGATGGTTTCCTTTTCCCCAGAGTCTGCATGTGACATGAGCATCTGTGTTCTTCTCAGCCATAAACTAGAAACGTACGGGGGAGTTTTGCAAAAAGAAATCAAGACAAACTCTGCAGTTTACCTTAATATCAGAAGGAAAACACAATGGAAAGGAACGGGAGCTGTGTATCAGAGGCCACGGCCACATTAGGTCTTTAGCTCATGGAAAGGATTCGGTCTGATGAGGGGAGTGATTTAGAACACAAGCTGGACTCAGGCAGAGCTGACTCTACCACGTGTGAGAACATGACCAAGGGATCTGTCCATTCTAAGCCCGTTTCCTCATTAGGAGAATGGAAATAATAACACTTATAGGCTATTAGTGTATGAAATGAGATCAAGTACATAAAGTGCCTGGCATTGGGTAAACCCCTTAAGCCTTAGTTATGTCTATTATAATTGTCTATTCTAATTCTATTATAATTGCTGGGTTATACAGCTTTTACTTTTGGACTTAAGTTGTGGACCTGGTAATTCAGATCAACCATCCCACTGAAGACAGCTTTTGAAAAATGAGGAAAAGACATTAAAAATCTTCTTCATAGCATTAAAGCTTTAAAAGATAGTAAAGAATGATCAGGTCCAAATTTGGGAGCAGAGAAGGAATTCACAGAGGTAAGCCCACAC